AAAATTTTTTAAATAGTAAAATAAGGGACATTGGGCCCTGCAGCCCATTCACATATGTTACATATGTCAGTCAACTTTTTCTTTTAGCAACTTTAATTCTAGGAGCTACAACATTAAATCCAGAATCCTGCTTAATATGACTGTATCAATAAATTCATCCTGATCCAATTGTATGCTCCATTGCTGTCATCACACACCCCTAATATCAGTTCCCACATGTTCCTCAGATCCCTACTTTTATGAATTAGAAAGTCAAGTAGTTCTTTTGGGCATAGTGAAATTGTGGAATTTGGGAGATCAAATCCCTTCATCTCACTCTTTTCCTTCATTACTTGGTCCACTGATGCTAGGATCAATCCAATCAGTCAATGTCATTATAGTTCTTAGTTTTCCAAAAATGTTCAAAAGCATCATACATACAGTTAGTAAATTCCTTGCATCTCATAGGAGTTGAAGTAGGATGGATTGAACATGTCTTTAAATAGTTCATACCATGCACCATCAGAAAGAGATCATTTAGCAACTGTAGCTTAATCAAATTAAAGAGAGAATTGCAGAAAACTAGATAAAGAAATTCATTCTTCCAATTTTGTTTCACTAGAACCACTGTCAGTATCAAAATCTGTATTGGTTTGGGTTCTCTAGAAGAAAAGAACAACAGACTGTATATATCCAAGGTGTGTTATTAGTTTGGCTTACTGGATCAGAAGCTGGATCTTCCACAATGGTCATCTGCACACCGGAGGCCTGGGGATCCATCAGCTACTCACCCCAAGCTGCTGGCAGCCTCTGAAGAGGAACTGAGAGTGCAGCCCTAGTCCCGGGCTCAAGGCCTGGAAGCTCTCTGAGTCACCAGTAAGAGTTTGTGTTGAAAGGCTGTAGAAGCTGAAGTCTAACGTCCACAGATGATGGCAGTAGCAAAAGAGGAACCCACTCAAAATGAATCAGACTTACTCGTATTGACAGGCTTCCTGCTTGTACTTTTGTTCCACCTGGGCAGCCTCTTTGGTGCCACTCATGATGAAGGCAGATACTATCCCTTAGTTTGCTGACTCAGGCCGGTCTCCGGAAACACCCACAGATACACCCAGGGGTGTGCTTTACTAATCTAGGTGTCTCTCAGTCTAATTAAGCTGACAGTCAAGATCACACTATGAAAAGGATAATTTACCAAGGATGTCAGGGTGTGGCACCTCTATCTGTCATTCAAGTATTAATTGAGAATGAATGAAGATATAGAAAATGTATTGGAATATTACTCAGCCTCAAGAAAGAAGAAAATCAGCCAGAACAGTGGTAGAAAAATGTACCCCCAGCTACTCAGGATGAGACAGGATCCATGCTTGAGTCCATGCCAGCCTAGGCAACACAGTCAGATACACACATACATACACACACCATTTACAACAACACACATGAACTCAAAGAACATTTGGCTAACTTATCTAATGTACAGCATGATAGCTACAGTTAATAACACATTGTCTATATTTGAAACTTGGTAAATGAAATTTTAAATGTTCTCATATCTCACAAGGATAACTATTGTGGAGACAAAACTGACTTCATTTTGCTAACTCTATTTTGTGATCAGGTCACTACTGGAAAAACCCCAAAATGCCCTTTTACCAAGTTCTCAGAAAAATCCATGACTGTTTGTGTAAGTTGTCACCAGATGTTTTCTTTTGTTAATTTTACAAAAACTTGTGGTTAGGACAAGGAGGGACACCTGGCCTGGGCCCATCAAGCATTGAGAAAACACACACTTGCAAAATGTTAACCAATTAAGTATTGACCTGTTTAGAAAGCTCCTAGTTCTGTTTCTCTGCTAATAAAAAGGCTGTTTGGAATCAGGCTTGGGGCCCTCATTTCTGAACCACTGTGTCGGTGAGATCCAAGGGCCCAGGCTCGAGCTTGCAATAAACTCCTCGTGTGATTGTATTGGACTCGACTCCTTGGTGGTCTTTGGGGATATCGCAATCTGGGCACAACACTATGTGAGGTGATGGATATATGTATAAATGTATCGAAATGTCAGTTTGAACAACACAAATAAATAACATTGTATCTATCAATTATACCTCAATAAAAATTACAATTTGGTAAGTTTTCTGAGTAAACTTTGCAATTAGATTTTGCGTCTTTACTTTGAGGTAACATACACAGAAGGGAACACACTTCCACAAACTATAATTTTTCATTTCTGTTGTCCACATATTTGCGTTGGTTTTATAAAACTGTTTGACTTTTTGACCACTTTAATGGACAGGCAAATGATCACATCCCCGAAGAGCCTGCAGGGACACCTTGGACTTGTGGGGTTGGCTCCTTCCATTCCTGAGGACATCAGCAGTGTGTCTATGGCTACCTTTCAACCACTGCGGGGATGGCCAACAAGGCCATGAAGGGAAGGAAGATCTGCAATCCAGATGGGGTACTGGTAGATTGATAGAAACGCCTGTGAGATTGCTAGTGGGAATTCTCTTTGAACACACTTTATCTGAGCCAAGTAATGACGCACTGTTCAAGAGACTGAAGTCTTTATTCACCTGAAAAAGCTGCATAGATGCTGCTAGATCCTGCCTGGACAGGAGAGATCGCAGAGAGACAGGCTGGCTCCTGACACCCTGAGTGCACACAGACTTTCAAGAAGGCTTGAGGAGATCAAGGATCACGTGATCCCAGATGCACCCCCCCACCCCTCATTCTGCACTCTGCAGCCATCCCGCCAGTCCTCAGCACCTTTGTGACACTGGTTCCCCACTGGGGATGACTGAAGAGGAAGGTTACTGTACCCTGACACCCTCATCCCATCCTAAGATCCTGCGTAGGCCCGCAAAGCCTGTTTGGGACCAGACACAAATTCCTAACTACCTACTTGCATCAAGCTCCCACTGGCCCCTCTAGGAAAGGAATCCCAGCCTTCCCGCCAAAAACAGCGCTCCCACCTTGTTCTCCAGCGTTTAAAATCCAACCTGGGCCTTGAGAGGTAAATCCCATTTCCCCTTCCTGGCTGAAGGCAGATTTGGGCTCTAGAGACCATCCCACGCCAACGTCTTCCGGTCCATAGGTGACCATCAGGTGGCGCCTGATATCCACATCGGAAGGGACAGAACCGGATACAGGTAATAACTGGGACCTGGACCTGGATGGTTGGGGGGAGGGTACCGGGGATTGAACTCGGGTCCTTGCGCTTTCAAGGCAGGCCACCGAACCTCTGGGCTAAATCCCCGGCCCTTTTTGGGGGGGAGGGGAGTTGAGACAGGGTCTCACTATGTAGTTGAGACTGACTATGTAGCCCAGGCTGGTCTTGAACTCACAGCGATCTTCCTGCCTCAGCCTCCCAAATTCTGGGATTACAGGCGTACGCCACCACGCCCGGCTGGACCTGGATGTTTTTCCACTTTGTAGGAGGTAGCAGGAAGCCGCTCCGGTGCCCCCGGTCCTTGCTGGTATTGAGGTCTTTGCAGAGCCTCTTCTTATGGTTCTGGCTTCCCGGGTACAGCAGCTCCGCTTACCAGCCCCGCGCTGCCCTCCTGAGCTGTGTCCCTGGATGTTGCTTCTTCCTCCGCGTCCCCGCCGGGTATCCCTGCAGTCGCCGCCGCCTGCGTCT